TCGAGTCAGTTCCAACTCTCTCTATCTATATAATTGTTGTTGGTTAAATTGGTTCAGATTCATAGCAACCCAGTATATGATTCAACAGCAATTCTCTCTCACTCTCTCTAGATGTTATTGTTGTTAAGTGCTGTTTCTCCCACGGAACAGCTGGTAGTTTTGAACTGCTGGCCTTAAGGTTCACAGCTCAATTCGTAACCACTACGCTACCAGAACTCCTTATATCTATCTATCTATATAGAGAAAGTCCTGGAGTTTCTGAGGAACAACTGATGAGCTTGAACTGCCAACTCTGTGGTTCAAACTGACCTTGCAGTTGTGCTCTTATCCTACAGCACCACAGAGGATTGGTGAGGTGCTGTAGGATACACAACTGGACTGTAAGGTTGGTTTGAATGATGAGGTCAGCAGTTTAAACTTACCAGAGTCACTTTTATATATGAGTCCTGGTGTGGCACTGTAGGATAAACACTGGATCACAAGGTCAGTTTGAGCCTCAAGGTTGGCAGTTCAAACTCACCAGCTGCTCCTTGGAAATCCTATACAGGGTCTCTTTGAGTCGAAACTGACTTGATGACACTTAACAACAACAGCAATATATAGAAAATTACTGACTTCTATGGTAATTTTATGTAAATGAACACAAAAGACTTTTTCATCAAGAAAAAATTCCTTTATATATGGAGTCCTGGTATGGTGCCGCAGGATAAGCATTGGACCATAAGTTTGGTCCATAACTATGAGGTCAGTGGTTCAAACCTACCAGCTGCTCCTCAGGAGCCCTATACAGCTTCACTATGAGTTAGAACTGACTCAATGGCACTTAACCACAGCTATATATGTTGTTGTTGTTGTGGTTAAATGCTGTTGTCAGTTCCGACCCATAGCAACCCTGTATAGGGTTTCCAAGGAGTGGTGGTGAGCTTTCTGCCAACTTTGCAGTTCAAACTGACTGTACAGTCTAGTGCATTAGCCCACAGCACCAAACCAGGACTCCACACAACAACTATCTCTATATATAGAATTTCAAGCATGAACACAAACAAACTTACATTTACTGATGTTCAATGCAGCATTGTTCACAATAATCAAAAGGATTAGAACAACCTAATTGTCTATCAACAGATCAATGGATACTTAAATGTGGTGTGTGTG